ATCCACCCTCAAGGGATGGTGATGGGTTTCCAACAACACTTGGAAAAGAATGTAGTTGAGGATGCTACATTTTTGAGAGAGGTAGCCTTCAGTCATACATCATTGCTGTAAAGCGACACCCAGGGAGGGGCGTTCATTTCGCAATGAGCTGTTTGGAGGAGCAAGGCTTTGGGAGTGTTCCAAGATCGGAGTCAACGGAAGAGGCTGATGTCGGCCTGTGCAAGTGCCTGGTGCACGGAGCTGACTCTAAGGCTCAGATCATGTGGTCAAGCCTCAGAGCAGGGTAGGGTAGAAAGACAGCTGGGGCACAGGTGCTCTGTGTGGTATATGCAGACCTTCGAACTGAAAGATGCTGCTGTCCCCGCACTGTCTGGCATCACTGTTTAATCACCTGTGTCTCTACTCCTCTCGTCTTGCCACTGTCAATTGACGGCACAGCACACTCCGACCTGAGGGAGGGTGCCATTCTTAAGCTCTACCTGCCATCTTTTCCTCTGTAGGAAATTGAGCCCAGGGCTAAGCATTAGGAGAAGGGAGAACCTTTGGACTCTTTACATAGGATTTTAAGAGAGCACATCTGGGGCCTTGCTTGTGAAAGCAAATCCTCCTCTAAAAATGTGCCCTTGCCCAGAACTGCTTCTAAGTCGGGGGAATTTCCTGAAGCCTGGGAGAGTCACAGTGAGTGAGCTCTCCAGTCCAGCATCTTGGTGAGGCCACGTGTGATACGCCACTGAAACCACAAAGGAATCTGCTGCGGGAAGTGTCCCAGCAGTTGCTTATTAGCATTAGAACAATCACACAAAGTCCCTTGTTAGCAGACATGTTTTCATGATCCTTAACTGGTGGCAATAAATAACAGGTGATTCTCTTTCAAGCAAATGCTAGATATCCAGAGATCCAGCTTCCAACTCTCTGTACCGGAATCATTTCAGATTAGGACAACCGTTGGAGTGGGTGGCATCCCAGACGCTGAGGCGCCCAGTGCTCTTCCTGCAGGAGCAGGGTGGGACACATGGGAGCTGCCTGTGGGTGGATGGGGGCAAAGCTGCTGGGTTTGCCATCACCAACTGGAAACAGAAAGACTTGTTCCCTCTGGAAGTCTGATCATCTGTTGGACCATCCCAAGGTTCTCAATGTGGTCCTCTCACGCCACAGGGAGGGATATAGGCACACGGCAAGGCAACAGGAGAACCCGGCAGGTGCTCAGCTCTTGGAGTGTTTATAACCAAAAAACCAAATCGGACCCCTGGACAGGTCTGCACCTTCTCCTTACAAAAAATCACCTACTCCTTCACAATCCCATGTCTTATTGTCTGAGGTTTAAAAAAAAAGTGAGTCCAATCCCCTTCCCCTCTACCCTCGTGGAGAAGAGCTGAGAAGTTGCCCCTTCAGAGCAGAGGTCAGACAGTGCCTGCTGACTGCTGGCACATGAGAAAACCTGGCTGTTTCTTTAGAACGAGAGAGAATATTTCCCTCTTCTAAGACCTTCTGACAATGACTAAATCTGAGTCCCTGGTCACCTATGGGCATCTCCAATTATCTTCAGAGATTTGACAAAATCTCCTAAAACTATCTCAAAAGTAATTTTTAAAGAATTTTAATTAAAAAATAAGAAAATTCCATGCACTACATAGATACAAAAAGAGGTGACTGCAGCATGAAGGGTTAGGGCTGTTAGAATAGCTGCTCTTTTATTGTTTTCCTAAGAAACTTTCATTGTAGGCCTCCCTCTCTCCCTGGTTTCCTTCTCCGGTAAACCAACCTTAGTCCCATATTCCTTCCCAATGTATTTCATATAGTTGGTTCATCTTAGTTCTTCACTCTCTTTTCTTGCTGAAAGGAAAAAAAACCAAGTCAGTAGCCCTGCTGGAGGGAAACAGGGGGAGCCCACTGTACTGAAGACAAGAGTTTCCTGTGGTGGGCTCCCCGGCAAGGGGTCTCTCCAGAGTCACCTGCAGCCCAGGCTTGGCGCATCCAGCCAGCCTCCTGAGGGGCAGGCTCAGCCTCAGAACAGCCCTGGTCACCCAGCTGCCTCCAGGGCATACCCTGATGGCGTAAGAGGCGACTCTTAGGGGGCCGGGCGCGGTGGCTTATGCCTGTAATCCCAGCACTTTGGGAGGGTGAAGTGGGTGAATCATGAGGTCAAGAGATCAAGACCATCCTGACCAACATAGTGAAACCCCGTCTCTACTAAAAATACAAAAACTAGCTGGGCGTGGTGGCGTGCGCCTGTAATCCCAGCTACTCGGAAGGCAAGGGCAAGAGAATCACTTGAACCCGGGAAGCGGAGGTTACAGAGAGCCGAGATCGTGCCACTGCACTCCAGCCTGGTGACAGAGACTCCCTCTCAAAAAAAAAAAAAAAGAAAAAAGAAAAAGAGAGGACACTTAGTAGTAGCAACCAGACCAGACCAGAGTGGGTTCTGCCTCCATACTGCAAGCCCAGCAAAGGCGATGGCTGATACACTCCCAAGCACTGACTTCCTAAGGCTCTCCCAACCGGTGTCAGGAAACACACAGACACACACACACACACACCACACAGACACACACACACCACACAGACAAGACCCACATCTTCCACCTCAAGTCTTTGCACAGGGAATAACGTGCTTCATGAAATATGTAAAAGGCCTTAAGGCAATAGAATTGTCTCAATTTTTTTTTTTTCGAGTGTTTGACAAGTGTAATTGGAAATGTTTGGAACATGAACACAGGCACACACACATACACACTCTAATTTGGAATTATGCGAAACGGTATCATTATTCACTACAACCTGAAGCAAAGCTACTGCAATGGAATAACAAGTACCGGATCTGTACAAGCCAGAGGCCCCTGAGTCGGCTCTCATTTGGACGAGGGTGACCCACGTGGCCTAGCCCTTTAAGGTCGGTTTAGAGGAAATGGCCTGGTGTGTTTTACATTTGTGAAGCTATTTAGCCTCCTGGTTTGACAAGATTTTTGAGAGGCGTGAAAATTAATTATAATTGCGGTATTGCAACAATAATTTGGTCGGCTAATTGCCTTTCAGTGCAGAAACAGTCAAGGAAGATTTTCCTCCCCAGGTTATTCTCTGATGTGGCAGCATTTATTTTAAAAGTAATGAGATTTTTAAAAAGTCAAACCTTAAATATCATGGTTTCAGCAATCTGTCCTGCTTAAAGTTTAATGTGAAATGCGCTAGCACCTCCGCGAGAGCAGTTCCACACGAACACGGATCCAGTTTTCCCCAAGACTTGAAATGAGAACATCTCTCTCCCCTGAAAACTACTCGAGGCATCTCTTTGACATTGTTTGGGGCTGGTTTTTATTTGGGGGCACCAATGTTTGTGGCTCTGTAATGAAGGAGGCGCTGATGAGGGTGCGTAGGAAGTTTTGAAAACTTAATACTGGAAGTCACTAAATGAGGTATCTTTTGATGGAAGAGGTACCATGAGTAAGAAGGTTGAAAAAAAAAGAGGAGTGAAAAACCTGGGTTGTTGTGGGATTTTTCTGGATCTCATTGTTTTCACATTGGCAGTTCTGAATACATAACCTGTCCATGGCTGTTCTGAGGGAAATTTATCTAACTCTAGACCAGCAGTGAGCACTTATGATTAATAAACTCTTGAGAGACAGGCCCTATCACCTTAAAATCTTGAAGACTCTGTCCCAAGGCCTGATTCAAGGTACTTTTCTCAGGTGCTGAAACTGTCAGGGGCGTTGGAACCAGAGCAACTCCATCTTGCATAGGGGCTGGGTGAAATGAGGCTGAAACCTACGGGGCTGCAGTCCCAGACGGCTAAGGCATCCTAAGTCACAGGATGAGACAGGAGGTCAACACAAGATACAGGTTGTAAAGACCTTCTGATAAAACAGGCTGTAGTAAAGAAGCCGGCTAAAATCTACTAAAACCAAGATGGCAATGGACAGTGACCTCTGGTCATCCTCACTGCTATACTACCACCAGGGTCATGACAGTTTACAAACGCCGCGGCAATGTCAGCAAGTTACCCTATATGGTCTAACAGGTGGAGGCAGGAATAATCCACCTTGTTTAGCATATCATCAAGAAATAACCATAAGAATGGGCAGCCAGCAGCCCTCCAGGCTGCTCTACCTACGGAGTAACCATTCTTTTATTCCTTTACTTTCTTAATAAACTTGCTTTCACTTCACTGTATGGATTCACCTGAATTCTTTCTTGCATGAGATCCAAGAGCCCTCTCTTGGGGTCTGGATCGGGACCCCCTTACTGTAACAAAACCACCAGACATCAAGCTCTTCCACAATCTGATAACTTAAGCTCAGTTCAGCGAGCAAGTTTAGCACATTCTCCTCCTCCCCTTCTCTGCCATGCTCTGAGTCCAGCCACCATCTGTGCATCTGAAAAGGAGGCTGTGGCGTGCTTTCTCAAATACTGCACATCAAATGGGCCTAACGGCATGGCATGGACCATTTCTTATGGCCTTCATCTGGATTCTAAGTAGCGGGTCGCTATGGAGATCTACCCAGGGCTGCCCTCGTGGTTCTGCAGGTCATGCTCTGCACAATGGCAGTTGATCAAGGGGTGAGGAGGGTGAGCTCCCATCCTGCTTCACTTGCCAGCTGAGACTCCTGCTCAGGCTGCATCCCAGAGAAAGGAGTGCCTTTTCTGATTCACCTTTGGGCCAAGGAAGGCCCTGAGTCATCCCTAACCTCTCCCTCCCAGAAATTCCAAGATCGAATGTTCATCTCCTCATCTTCAACACTGCTGATGTCCTTTGAAGGAAGAGAACATGCGTGTGGCAAAGGTGAATTCATTTTGAAGATATGCTTTCTGCTCAGCGTGAAAGAAGAGAGAGGGAGAGAAACAGAGAAAAGAGAATAAAAAGAAAGGCAGGGAAGTTGTCCCTCTGTCTAATAAATTGTGGATTCATTGTTCTTCTCTGGACACAGCTGTAAAGGGGCAGAAAATCAATTTTTTCTATTACGCCACGGTGAGAAAGGAAAACCTATTTGTAAATTGAATTAAACCCCTTAATAGCATGTCTGTGTATTTGTTGAGGACTAGAAAAATTAGCCACAGATACAACTACATAATCCAGCAATGTAACTAGAAATCAACACCCTCCCGTTTCAAAGCTTCGTCGAGACACTTTCTTTTCCTTTTTTAAAGAAACACCCATGGCTAAATGTCACTAAGATTCTTCAGCATGCCAACACTTCAACACCTCAATAAGGACTCTGGAAGGGAAGGAACTCCGAAGTCCCATCTGGGTAGAGTGCGCTTCCAAATTCTTGCCTTTGCTAGTGGAGTACCAGTCAGTCAGTCAACGATGATTGGATACGAACTAGACCCCTCTAGCTGATGGTTTCTTCCCAAGTCGCAATCTGTGGTGCTGACTGTGGAATAAATCCCCTGTTTCTGTGTGGGCTAGATCTTGTTCACAGACACCCATTCACTCAGAACTGAATAATCCTGCTACTGCAGTCAGCGAGGGTCCTGATATTTCATTAGCCGTCTTCCCTCTAGTGGAGCAACACAGTACTTCAGATTTTCTAGGAATAGAAAAGATTTTTCTTTTTCTTTTCTTTCAGGGAGCAAAATAATTCAAGTTTTCCAGCTAGTGCAAGGTGAGGCAGTCATCTTCAGAAGTCAGATTCCAGAGCTGAGGCAAACAAGGCTCACATGGATAGGTCCCCAGGTCAGAGTTAGAGGCAGATGGTGCTGAGGTGGGTGTCCCTGCAGGCTCTGCAGGGACAAAGGTCCTTCTGTCATTCTTAGAACCCTCCAGTTGGGAATAAGCATTCATAATTCTCTCATTATGCAAATAGGACCCACTTTAAGAGCAATCAGCGTTAACAGGGATGTGAAAAAATCAGAGGGTTTTGTAAATTTTTGGCAAATTATTACACGGATGAACTTTTCAAAAGGTCCAGGTTAAATTTTTAAAAAGGCAAAGATTCACGAGTTTTATAGAAAGACCAAGTCTTTGTGTGTGTTAATTGTAAGAGGAGAGTCTATCTTGTGATGTTGACTGGATGCTGGTAAGGCAGAAGACAATCTTGAGATCTGTTGTTTTGGGTTTCGCTTCTGTCTTTTTTAAAAAGTCAGAACTTAGCTTGCTTCAGTTTGTCAATGTGGTGGCAGAGTTTCAGTGCGGGTCCCAGCTTCAGGCCCAGGTACTTCATGACCATGTCGCTCCTCAGCAGCAGCAGAGCGTTGCCATCAATCTCCTGGTGGGATAGGACCAGAAGAAAGAAAACCCAGAAGCTGGTCAGAGTCATCAAACAGCGGCTGAGGTTAAGGTGTGGTCAGGGGATGTGCTCAGGGCATATGGGTTTATTTAGGCAGCATGTTCTCTTGGGCCTGGGGCAAGATCTTTTAAAATATTAAAGCAAACGAATACTGCGTGCTCCTCTCCCCATCATCTCCCTGGAGTCATCTGATACACGGGATGCTTCATATTCCCGCCCTCCCCTGACAGAAGAAATCAAACGTAACCCCATGTGTGTGTTCCCAGTATCCCTCTTACGAAGTTTATCTCCTCATCCAAGCTTGGCTAAAGGAGCAAGAAGTGTCATCCGTTAGACCCTGAAACTAGAGGGTCTTTCCATTCCAAACTTCCGCCTGTTGCCCTGATTTCTCATTTCTTTCCTTGGTAGGCCCACCTACCTGTACCTGATGACAAAGCTCCTCATTCCACCCTATGGAGGATTTCAGGTATGTTACAGTCCTATTACACTAGATGGAATGCACTAAATAATGCACCTGCTTCATCTCAGGGCTCAGCGCAAAGAACTACCAAGGGAACGAGCCAGTCCTTTGAGGTTTGGTCCCAGTGTTGCTGCCACTGGTCTCTGAAAACGGTCCCCCTCCAGAATGCATGCTGAGTTCATGAACCTAGCAAGGTTGGGCTTCCATGCTCAACTGTAGTGCTATTTTCAGGTCACTAGAGACAAAGGGTAGTAATGTGGGGTGCTCAGGCGGGCAGGGAGAAGAGACATAGTTACAGGACTTTAGTAATGGTGCCAGGGTCGCCAGCTCTCTCATTCATCCGCCCAGCCAGGCAGTACTGATGGAGTGCCCACTCTGTGTCATTCACTCTCCATGTCCTTGGCAAAATGGCAATGGGCAAGGCTCACCTGTGGGCCACCCGCAGGAGCCTCATTTCCTACTGTCTTTTCTTTCCCTCACCTCCTGGATTCCCACCACCCCCTCCCACCCTGCCAGACAGCCAGACTCCTCCTGCCCAAATCTGTCCAAGCATAACCCACTCTGTGGTTCTCAGTCTCAAGGCCCCATGGTCAGGTGAGGTCAACATATGCCTAAAAAGAGGTGAGTGCTGAGTGAGATGAGGATCCTCCTCAGATCGGAAAGCCTGATTTTTCTATGACAGGATCACCAATAAAATGAGAAACAGGAAACAAAAATACTGGTAACTGTGGAAGGTGGAATAATGCTCCTGCCCCTCCAGGCACAGTGTTTGTATTCTAATCCCCAAACCTGTGAACGTCAAGTTACCCAGCAAAGGGGAATTAAGGCTGCAGGTGGGATTAAGTTTGCTAATCAGCTGACTTTAAAGTAGGGAGATTATCTGGAATTACGGGGCAGGGCTTGGGGGACGGCTGTGTAATCACAAAGCTCCTTAACCGTGGAAGAGGACATCAGCAGTGAGGACCAGGGATGGCAGCCCGAGCAGCCAAACAGGCCTCAGCTTGATGTTACAGGCTTTAAAGATGATGGCGGGGGAAGGGAACAAAGGACTCGTGGTGGATCTAGAAGCTGGAAAAGGCCACCAAGCAGACTGTCCCCTGGAACCTCTAGAAAGAAACGCAGCCTTGCTGGCTGAGCCCGGTGAGACCCATGTCAGGCTCCTGACCTCCAGAGTGGTAAGGTAGAGAATGTGTATTGTGTGAAGTCACTGTGTCGGTGGTAATTTGTTACAGCACGGTACAAAATGAGTACAGTGTCAGGTGCGGTGGCTCATGCCTGTCATCCAGCACGAGACCAGCCTGGCCAGCATGGTGAAACCCCACCTCTACTAAAAATACAAAAATTAGCTGGGCGTAGTGGCAGGCACCTGTAATCCCAGCTGCTTGGGAGGCTGAGGCCGGAGAATTGCTTGAACTGGGGAGGCGGAAGTTGCAGTGAGCTGAGATTGAGATCGCACCACTGCATTCCGGCCTGGGTGACAGAGTGAGACTTCGTCTCAAACAAAACAAAACAAAAACAAATAAAAACGAAATGAGTGTAGTAAGCCTGGCAGGTAAATTATTGATTCTTATCTTTGAACGAAATTTACCATCTCTCTCTATTTCAGCATATCTCAAATCATGATGATGGTATCTGTTAAGGGAAGACATCTGAGTCAGGAACCGTGCTGAGCACCTTCTGTGCATTTTCCTATTTAGTCCTCGACGCGGTTTAGGCACAGGCGCGACTGTGGTTTGCCTGGCATGTCGTAGGTGTGCTGTCTATGTCTGTTGCATGCACAGACGGCTGGATGGGCAGGAAACAGGCACTCCTGACGCAGGCCAACGTGAGAGAACAGATGGGGCCAACATCCCTTTACAAACAAATTAACTGATCGTTCTGCTCTGAAGAGCCTGTGGTTGTATCTGTCCCTCTCATCTCTGGCTCCCTTGAGGGTACCCCTAGTGCTTAGTTTAGAGCCCCCCACAACCTCCCCGGCAGCATCCTGCAGTTCCCCGGACCTGACTCTCCTTCCATGCCTGCTTCCCCAATCCCCCCAAGGTCAAACCCACCACTCGCATACGTGCTTTCTGAAGAGCTCCACGTGAGGCCCCAGAGCCTGCGGGTCGGCATCCTTCACAAACCACACCACATCCTCTACAGTCCAGGTGGAGGGGTTCCTGCTCCGTGGCCGCCTGGCATCCTGCGCGTCCTGAGAAGGACTTGAGGCTGGATGGAAAACAGAGAGGGAGAGCTTAAGCCAGTGGGACAGGGCCTTGTACCCACCTGCTGCTGCCTGCCCCACCTAGCCTGGGAGGGGGGTCCTCAATGCCCACGAGTCCAAGGAGCTGGCCCAAGTGACCTCCTGTCACAGGAAAAGGCTGTGAGTGGCAGCTCTGTCTACAGCCCAGCGCACGGAAGGCCACTCCCAGATACACTACCCTCCCCATCTACGCCAAAGCTCTCTGCCCTCCCAGGAGAGAGGCACTAGACAACAGATTCCCTTCGACCTGCTAGAATTCCCATCTGAGTTGGAGTTTTCGAGACCCTCTCTCTCAGCGGGCCCAGGGCCTCCTGAGCCTGGGCACTTGGTGACCCAGGGCAAGTGTGCTAAGATGAATGTCCCAATGAGCCTCATTGTGTCAGCGAGGCCAGTGACTTGGGGTCCTTTCTGCCTCCATGGCCTTCACACTGAGATGACAGAGGCACGGCAGAATCGAGGTGCCTTTGTGGTTCTTGCTCACGGTCTCTGCGGAATGCAAGTCCGCCGCAGCCATCCTGGTCTGCACATGCAGAAAGACGATGTCACCTCACTCACTGCCCCAGGTCCACACCGAGCCCCTGCATGACCCTCTGGGGCTGTCAGAGCAGTTGCCAGGATCCCCTCTCCTGCACCGTGAACTCCCTGACCGCAAAGGGCCTAACCTGTGCCTGGTCCATAGCTGGTCCTTGGGAAATGGCTGCATAGGGCATTTCCCATGCAGCAGGTGGAAAGATGCAGGACAGTGAAGGAAGAAGAGAGCAATGAATTCAATGGCTGGCAACACTTAGGGGTTGATCTTTTCGCTTGTATGTCCCAAACTATCTCATCCTCTTTCCCTAGAGCCAGCGTCTCTTCCTGTCTCCCCAATTTTGGGAACCCACCTCTACCTCCTCCCCTTTTTGTGCTCCCCACATTCATTTATTCTGAAGCTCTTGAGAGAATGCCTCTCCTCTGGTCTCTTCCCTTGCACCCCTGCTGCCCCAGCTTCAGAGCCTGCCACCCAACCCACTGCCATGGGTTCCTAATGGGCATTTTGGGGCCATGCCTTTTTCTGGCTACAACTGCCTGCCTCACGTTCTCCCTCAGACCATCTCCCCATGGCTCCCTCTTACCTGCACACCGAGCCCTCACTCTACCTCAAGGTCAAGGGCTCCCTTTGGTCTTAATGTTTTCCCTTGGGAGGCCGAGGCAGGCAGATCACGAGGTCAAGAGATCAAGACCATCCTGGCTAACATGGTGAAACCCCGTCTCTACTAAAAATACAAAAATTAGCATCTGTAATCCCAGCTATTTGGAAGGCTGAGGCAGAAGAATCACCTGAACCTGGGAGGCGGAGGTTGCGGTGAGCCGAGATCACGCCACTGTACTCCAACCTGGGCGACAGAGTGAGACTCCGTCTCAAAATAAATAAATAATATTTTTTCTTCTTAATGGAGGGTAGAAGGGCTTTGGTGCCAGAGAGACCTAGGGACGGATCCCGGAGCTGCCCCTTGCTGGCTCATTGTGGGTGAAATGGCAGTGCTTTCTACCTGAAAGGGCAGGTGTGAGGATGAAGATGGGATAGCGCCCTGCCCTGAGGCTGACCTGTGTCAGGTGCTCCACCGAGGGCAGGAGCCCCCTCCCTTCCTGACAGCCCTGTTCTCCTGCGCCCCCGGCTGCGTGGGTACACTTGTTGTGACCGAATGTCCCCCCAGCTTCCCTGCTCCGCCTGTGGCTGCTGCTTTGGCTCTAACCTAGAAGGCGTTCATCCTCTCTTCTTTCCACTCACGATCTACCTGCTGCCTTCATGAACAGAAATGTTCTGTGCTTCCTGCAGCCTGGGTGTTACCTTCCTACCTCTTTATTTTATTATATTATTTATTTATTTTTTTGAGACGAATTTCACTCTTGTTGCCCAGGCAGGAGTGCAGTGGCATGATCTCTGCTCACTGCAACCTCCACCTCCTGGGTTCAAGTGATTCTTCTGCCTCGGCCTCCTGAGTAGCTGAGTTTACAGGTGCCTACCACCACACCCAGCTAATTCCTGTATTTCAGTAGAGACAGGTTTTCACCATGTTGGTCAGGCTAGTCTTGAACTCCCGACCTCTGGTGATCCACCCACCTCAGCCTCTCAAAGTGCTGGGATTACAGGTGTGAGCCACCGCGCCCGGCCTCCTATCCCTTTATTCCCACATCTTTATTTGTTCATCTATCTCTTAAGGTGCTTTCACGTTCCACTTTGTAGTACAATTACAAACTTCTCTAGAACCTCTAGTTAGGTTTTAATTTCCTGAGGATTCCTCCCACTCACTCCACAAACATAGACTGAGTACCTTCTGTGTACCAGGTCCTGGGTGAAGTGTTTGGTGAAAAATACCAACATGATTCTCTGGTGAAAAATACCAACATGATTCTCTAATGACAGGGGTTATAATCATGGACTCCTCCATGGCTCTGAGTACATACACAGTCATACACTGCCTAATTACGGCGGTCCTGTAAGATTGTAGTGATTCTAGGGATTCCAGTTCCCATCGCCTAGTGAGTGATTTATGTTGCAATTTCCTGTGGTATTCAGTACAGTAACATGCTGTACAGGTTTGTAGCCTGAGTCATAGGCTATCCCACACCGCCTAGGTGTGTAGTGGACTATACCATCAAGGTTTGTGCAAGTGCAGCCCATGGTGTGCACACAACAATGAAATCACCCAAGGATGCATTTCCCAGAATGTATCCCATTGAGTAATGCATGACTGTGTTTATAAATACGGGCTTGATAAATATGAGATGAATCAATGTACTTTGCAGACACAGTCTAGGTAACTTATGCAAAAGGCTGTGTGTGAAATCTTTACTTCTATTTTAAGGCTAGAAAAAAAGTCAAGGTTCTGAACAAGGAAGCAGCTTCCCTACAGAAGAATTCTAAGTTACAAGCTGAGAAGCCTTCACTTTATTTCCCTTCTTTAAATCTCAGGGCGCAGTGGCTTTCTGCTGTCTGTCTCCTTCCTCCTTTTCACGTGCCTGAGATGAGCATGCTGCCCCAGCAGCGCTGAGGAAAAGACAGCATCACATGTCTGCATCCGTCCTTAACACATAATGGTTTGGCTGAGAATTGGATTGACTTTGAGATTTTTCCCTGCTTCTTCCTTGTGGGACCCGGAAGGGTCCCATAAGGTGGTTTGGCACGGGGCATTTTTCTGGGAATCTGTTAGCATACCCGGAGTCATCTGAATGCTGATCCATGCTCATTAAAGATGATTTTACTCCATTTAGACATCTGCACTCGACACGGGGACGAGGAATCACAAAATCACATTGCCTTTGGATCCCACCCCATCAGAACACCGGCATTAATCGGGGTGATAATAGATTACAAAGACTGGAAGTCTTTAGTGCCAAGAATAATTTTAGAGTGATCAGTGCAGAGGCCAAATCTAATTTCCTGCATCTGACAGGAAGTGGGGGAAACCCAGACGAGTTAACAGGATCATTCACAGGAACCTAGAGTCCTTTGGGCAAGGTCAGGGAAACACTTCCCCCTCAGCCACAGCAGGCAGGGCTGAGCAAGGTGGCTGGTTTGTCTTTAAGGAGGAGGCTCTCGGGACGGACGATCGCTGTGGAAGGAAAGAGGTAACTGAGATGGCAAAGTGGGCTCTGTTTCCTGCTCCCCGGTGCTTGCTGTGGGCACTTTTTACTTTTCCGGGATGGAGCGGAGGCAGCAAGAGCCTGGGTCAGACATGTTTCTTAGGGGGCTTTCAGTCATACAAGACAGAGGGCGGCAGGCAGCCTAAGTCACACCTCGGGAGCTGCTCCTGATCCAAAGCACACAGACTCCCTCTAGATGGAAGAAACATGGAACTTTCCAGTGGCAGTTTTGCAGAGCCTCACAGTGGTCTGTGCTCACGAAAATAATAAATACACTCGCCACTCCCCTCCAGCTGCTGCGAAGGTGTCAGGAAGACAGGTGGGTGGAGCCTGGTGCAGCTGGGGCAGGCAGATGTAATAGGTCAACGGTGAGACATGATGGATGTGGAAAAGGCTTGCTCCAGAGCAGACAGAGCGCGCCAAGAAGAACTGGCCAGACACCTTTGCGAGCAGGCAGGGTTCTCCAACAAGGAGGACGTTGTGCTTGGTCTTGTCATTCTGTGGGGGCTGCCAGAGGCACGTGCACAGTGAAGCCCAGTTAGGAATGGATTAAATAAGCTTGTTACGAAAGCTGACCTCATCTTGACCAGAGATAGAATGGCTATGAGTCAATGTTTCAAGGCAATCCCGACATTCACAGCACAGGTACGTGCATACTCTCTGTGAATCTCTCTCTTTCTTACACATGCTCATGAGCACATACATACGTATATAATTTCCTTTCACTCATTCATAATTCAGGAGAGACTCTTTAGCTGACAACGGAGTCATGTGGAGGAATGGAATGAGCAGTGAGCTGGGAGTCAGAAATCCCTGCCACCCACCAGCCCTGTGATCAACTCTGTGCTTCTCTGTTGTAAAATAAAAGGGTTTGATCTCTAAGCCACTCCCTGCCCCTTATGACACTGGGCCAACCCCTCACACCTCATGCTGTTCACACGAAGGGAGTCACCTCCTCCCACAGCTGAAGGTGGCATCAGCAGGTCCACATGCAAAACACACTGCGGGCAGCCACAGACAGGCTTCCCATCTGTCCTGAGCTCTGATCATTCCCTATGGACCTCATTGTCTTCATCTATAAATTGTGACTATTGTTTGTTATTTCTTAAGAATATTTTAAGAATCAAGAGAATGTGGCTCAGGGCTGGAGCCTGACCTTAAGAATCTTAAAGGGAGGAACGTCGTTGTCTCTGACAGGGACCCCTGTGTCCTCAGGCTGCCTGTGAGCTGCCCAGGCCCTCTTGGTTTCTGGTGGCTGGAGCTGGGTTGGGAGGACCGGGGCCGGTGAGGGGAAGAGAGAGCTCTGTTCTCAGCATCTTCAAGTGACCTGCTCCTGCTAGATGCATCCTTTCTAGATACAAGGCCATATCAAATGTGCGAGGTGCCCAGACTAGCCCATGATTATGGCAAAATCATGTGTCTTGAAACAGTGCTGTTGCTCATTATTTCTATCTGTTGCCCAGGGTGGAGTGCAGTGGGGTGACCTCAGCTCACTGCAACCTCCGCCTCCCAGGTTTTCAAGTGATTCTCCTGCCTCGACCTCCCAAGTAGCTGGGATTGTAGTCACGCACTACTCACTCTGTCTAGAGTTTTCAAGATACCATGAGGTGAGAGAGATGAGAGGGAAGAGAGCCCACCCAATCCTTAGCATTTAGTCAGGTTTTTATTCAAATTATTTGAGACCAGCTGGCCTGCCTGTATGAGGAGAGAGCATGTCTCCAGAAACAAGGAGAGATCGTAGGCTTGAAGCCAAGCTGAGCTGAGCTAGACTCCTTCTTGGCCACCAGCAGACACTGTGACCTCCTGGCAAGCACTGTGGCCTCTGCCGGGAAGCCTCCAGCTGCCCCGCCTCCCCGCTGGCCCTCCCTGGCTGTCTTTCCTGGGGCCTATTCCAGCCAGCTCCACTGTCCCTTCTCTGGGAAGCCTTTCCTGACTCTTACCGGTAGGCTCAGCCCCTCCCTCCCTATCTGATTCTCCCACAGCATCCACACTCTTCCCTGGCAGCAATCATCACAACTGTCATTCAATTTGCATAATAATTTGTTGACATTTGTCTCCCTGGAATTGCAGACCCCTAGAGAACAGGGCTGGTGTCCGTCTTGTTCACAGATCCGTCCTCAGTGTGAGAAGAGTCCCTGGCACACTGTGTCCAGGAGGTCTCTGCTGGCTAGGACCAACCAAAACCTCTCTGAGTCTTAGTTGCCTCATCTATGAAGCACCTTTCTGGGCTCTTGCAAGGAGTAAATGGCATAGTGCTGTAAAGCATTAAACAGGATTCCTCATGAGGTAGTTACTATACTTCTTGTTTTGATGATGTCATTCCATAAATGGCTGGTAGATTTGTTTTTCTAATCCCAGAGCCACCAGCTCACTCCCCTCTTCAGAAATGTCTAGTTGACAATGACTAACAGAGCAAAGTCCCATCTGCCTGACATGGATCCCAAACCTCCCAGCATGGTTTCCCTGGTGTCCCTGCATCAACTCTTTTTTCTTCTTCTTCTTCTTCTTTTTTTTTTTTTTTTTTTTTTTGAGATGAGGTTTCGCTCTGTCACCCAAGCTGGAGTGCAGTGGCATGATCTCAACTCACTGCAACCTCTGCCTCCCGGGTTCGAGTGATTCTCGAGCCACAGCTTCCCAAGTGGCTGGGATTATAGGCCTGCACCACCATGCCCAGCTAATTTTTGTATTTTTAGTAGACACGAGGTTTCACCGTGTTGCCCAGGCTGGTCTTGAACTCCTGACCTCAGATGATCCACCTTGGCCTCCTGAAGTGCTGGGATTAGAGGTGCGAGCCAGTACACCCGGCACAAACTCTTTAATTAATCAGCTCGTGCCATGCGTTTGTCTACTTCCTCACACAGAATACTGTTCTCATTCTTTTTCTAGCTAAATTGTCTCCATCCCTCACCCAATGCCAGATCCTATCAAATCAAAATCCAGCCACAGGAAGCATTTGGGTTATAATAGTAACAATGTCAGATTGACTTCATTTCTTGATTCTGAATCTAGTTGTGGTCGGGAATTCTACCATGTGTCCTGTTAAATGCCAAAGTCAGGAAGCTTTTGTTATCCAAACCCTCTTTATAGCTCTTGGTGATTAGATCTTGGCTGAGATACAAGGAAGAGCCCTCAATCCTTCAGCAGAGCATCACAGATGCTGGGGAAATTCGCCCTGGGAACACATGCCCTCGGAGCCCACTGGCAGCAGAGGTGGACGTGATATATCACGACTGCAGGAAGTGAAGGGTAAGTACCGCCACAGAAGAGAAGGCCGGGGAGTTTGTCATGTCATCAACACCTACCCCTCTGCCTGCAGCCTCATGCAGTTTTCTGGCTTCTGTGATTTTAAACCATTTTGATTAGTCTCACGGGGGAAAAGGCCATTTTGAAGTCTGTTCCATGGTTTATGACTTAGGTCAAAACCCTCCTGAAGAGGTATGGTTTTTTGATGACAACTGTTTTTTACTGGGGATGGAACTTCAAAGCAATATTGAACAATCATTTGGGTGGGAGGGTGGGATGGGGGGGACCCACAGCAGGCACCAGGGTGACCGCTAGGTGAGACATGGGTGAGGACACTCATGGTTTCTCTCATACTTTACCACGCTGCCGCTGAAGTCAGCGTGGTTTTCATTTCCATGGTTTCCAAACATTTTTAGCTGTGCAAATTTTGTTTACGCAAAGCACATGTAGAACCCCACTCTGCAAACGTGAAAAGGCCCTGCTTAAAGAGAGGCAGGGTGCTTGGAGTCCTATCTGCTCTTATTCCTTCTTCTCCATCTCTTAGAATCTTGAAAGCCATCAGGCATGATCTGAAAACCCCTGGGGTTGTTTTGAAAGACACAGGCTTTGGAGTCCATTGAAGTCAAATCCTGGCTCAACCCTTGATTTACCTTCTTTTGAACCTCTTTTTCTTTAACATACCAATACCTTTTTATTAATAGTAAATCATAAACATATAACTTACAATCAGTCATGAATAATGTGTGGAAAGTGTCTGGCCCTCTTGAGTGTAGGTGTTCAATAAATAACAGTTTGAGAGAGGCCTCAAACAAGCCCCCCTTTGCCAGGGCTGTGGGGGATTCTAATATGAATAAGAGACTTCACAAAGCTGAGAGCCTGTTCCCTTCTCTAGGATGGGCTAGAAATACAGATTAGGAAACAAAGTGCTGTGGGAGGGAAAAGGAGGGAGGGAGCATTTCTAATCAGACTTCCTGTTGCCTATTCAGGGTCATTTTGCACTTCTTACTCTGTAATAGCAGCCCTAATTTCCATCTGGAATCACAGTTGCTGGGAATGGAAACTACATTTCCCAGCATCCCTTGCAGCAAGTGGCCATGTGACTAAATATTGATCAATGAAATGTAAACAGAAGCGGAAACCTCTTTGAGAGACACCGGTGCTATCCTCCCTCCCGTCTTGTCCCGGCCCACTTCCTCTCTCTCGCTGCTGAGAATGTGCATGGCTCACTGGTGTTTTCTGGTACCTGGGTTTTATTTAGCACCCCGAAGAAGGCACTGGTTAAAAGGAATATTTGGAGAATTAAAGTGTTAATAGACCTACAAAGGATGAATGATTTCATTTTTCTTCGGTGTATCACAAAGATTCAACAGTGAACTTCAATTGATACATCATGTAGCAGCTTTTCTCCTAAGACGTTAGGTGGCTTTGTGAAACATCCCACAGTCCCATGGTAGGGAGGTCCTGCTGATTATGAACAACTGGATTTCAGGGTCTCAGGCCAGATTCTCTCTAATATATATATATATATATATATGTTAGAGCTAATGGTCTGTGATCAGTTAAGGGATATGTTAGAAAGATCTACACTGTAACTACTAACACTTATTGAGCTCTTATTACATCCTAGGCCTCATACTAAATGCAAGTATGAACTTAGTTAATCCTTCCAACAATCCTGTGAGGCAGGTGCTGCCATTATGATTGATTGCAATTTTATAGGTGAGTAAACCAAAGCACAGCTAAGTTAAGACTTGCAAAAGGTAGGCAGAAAGCAGCAAATCCAGCATTTCAGCCCAGGCTGTGTGGCTCAAGTCCCCGTGATTATCCGCTATATGCTGTGGCCTTTATGCACTATCAAAATACTGAAGCTTGAAAATCATTTTTTAAAACATCAGTCAGAATGGCCTTCAAGCTATTATTATAATCCTTTATCCCTCACAGCACTTTCGTAGATTGCATTCTGACAAGTTTTCTTCAGTGGTTGAGACAGAAGTGGCATTACAACCAGCACTGGGGGAATTTTGCCTAACTCTGCTTCTGCCCACGTATTTGTATCCTGAAAGTGACACCCGCTATGCAAGAGAAAATTCTTTACCAAAGTCTGCTTCTCCTTTTTCCTGGACAGAGCTAGCCTATAGCTCCCAGAGTCCCTTATCGTTAAGTGTGGCAACATGGGATGTGAGTGGAAGTGGTGAGCATCACTTTCAGTTTGCAGGGAAGTGCCTGTACCTTCTCCACTCCTCCTTTCCCTTTCTATTTGCTAAATGCATGCGGGGGGCATGAAGGCTGTAAGGAGTGGCAGAGCCACAGAATACACACAGCCTGTATCCTAAACTGACACGCATCCGTGAATCAGGAACATTTACCTTAGGCTCTTGAATGAAAATTTCCATGGTATTTGAACCTGTCTACATTTTGAAGTCTACGTATCCTATGGCCTAGCCTACCCTAATACATGATTTTCTCTGCTTATGGTCAAAGGTTGAGACTGGCTGTTTTTGAGAACCTCAAGAATCCACGAAAAGGCTTGTGGAAATTCCGGATCTCCCAGCAGTCTTGTGTTTAAACAGCCACACCCCTCCTTCCCCAGATGCTGTGCTCCCTGGGCAAGGGCAAGGGACGGTCAGCAGGAAGCTGATGCATGCATTACATTACCACATCTGTTTCCTTCAAGAGAGGTCGCGTTTCTCTTGGGGCTGGAGGCTGGGGGCCTCAGCCCAGGTGCTGAGGGGCCACCAGAAGACATGGGGCTGGTGCGGGGACCACCAGAGGCAGCAGCAGGACCTCCCCCAACGTGGCTGTCTCCAGAGTTCTGCCTCTTGCAGTACAGCGAGGAGGAAGGGGGCAAGGACCCCCTGTGGTTAAAGGTGGAGGCGGAGGGGTCCACGCCGTAGCGGTTCATGCCCACAGGGTGCACCAGGTACTCTTCGGTGGTGTCTGTCTTGGCTGAGCAAGAAGGCAGTACAGAGAAGCAGAGATCAGAGAGCAGTTCAGGAAACTACCGGACCTTCCGTCTTGGCAAACCCTGCCCTGCCAACATAGTCACCAGTATCTGTGAGGATGGGGAAAAGAGAAATGAACCCCATAACACAGTTCCAAACAGCATACCTGTCAGCAGGCTGAGACAGCTGCCTCACCCACAGAAGCATATTGTAACAGGAATTAAAAGGTGTGCTCCTCTGTGCTTAGAGGAAAATTAATATTTTGGCCATTGATGACTTAAGAATAAGGTCGAATCAGGCCGTGTGCAGTGGCTCATGCCTGTCATTCCTGTACTTGAGGAGGCTGAGGAGGGCGGATCACCTGAGGTCAGGAGTTCGAGACCAGCCTGGCCAACATGATAAAACCCCATCTCTACTAAAAATGCAAAAAATTAGCCACATGTGGTGGCGTGTGCCTGTAATCCCAGCTACTCAAGAGGCAGAGGCAGAAGAATTGCCTGAACTGGGAGGCAGAGGTTGCAGTGAACCGAGATCGCACCACTGCACTCCAGCCTGGGCGACAAGAGCGAAACTCCGTCTCAAAAAAAAAAAAAAAAAAAGAATAAGCCCAAATCAAAGACTTTCTCCCACAGTGGCTCTGCCCTCACAGTCTCTGTTGGCTTCTCAGAATCTCCCTAAGTTCCCTGCTCTTCCTTGCCCACCAGCACAGATCCTGTCACCTGGCTCAGGACTCCTGGGACAGATCAAGCAAGAGTCACAATGTCTCAGAGTCAGGAGAGGCAACTGTGGCCTGGGTGGTGGCCCAGGTGCCACAGTGCTTTCTCCCCACACCATTAGTCCCGATACACATGAGGGCAGCCATGTTCTGCCACGGCTAACAAGCAGGAACACAAGTACTGATCTGGACAGCCCCACAATACTCCCCAAACCCTTCACAGGAGAGCTAAAGAGCCAAGCTAAAGTGCAGGGTGAGGCGAGGACTTAGAGTCTCCCAAGCTCATCATCAGTGCCTCTTAAGAATACCAGGACTTAGTGTATTTTTTTTTGTTTTTTTTTTTTGAGATGGAGTTTCAATCAGTCACCCAGGCTGGAGAGCAATGGTTTAATCTCAGCTCACTGCAACCTCCACCTCTCAGGTTCAAGCAATTGCCCTGCCTCAGCTTCCCGAGTAGCTGCCCGGCTAATTTTATTTTTAGTAGAGACAGGGTTTCACCATATTGGTCAGGCTGGTCTTAAACTCCTGATCTCAAGTGATCTGCCTGCCTTGGCCTCTCAAAGTGTTGGGATTACAGTCCTATGCTTTTAAAGTGCAACATTGAACCTGTTGATTTCCCTGTGAGCTATACCTGTGACCTGTGGCCAAATGGTGGGGTTTTTGTTTGTTTTATTATTTTTATGTGTGTGTGTGTGTGTGTGTGTGTGTGTGTTAGGGGGAAGTCCAGAGAAATTATAGAAATACAAAGAAGAAAACTATTCTAGTCCCTCCCACCAGGACAAGATCATGTCTACCTATCCCCAGCAATAATTATCTGTGTATTAGATATCATTAAAATGATCTTGGTATTCCAAAAGAAAATGCAATCGACAACAACAACAGCAAAACCCTATGGATCCTCCATGATTGGCAATAAAAATCAAATTGGGGCCACAAGATCCAGATGTCTTCTTCATGCATGGATTCTTCCACAATGTAGGTATTGAAGATTAAGATTTGATTTTATCAGGGGAGCTAGCAGATCTTCTGATAGCTGGGGACAAATGTGGAGTCTCACCAGAAACAAAAGTCATTGCAGATGGGATACAGTTAAAGAAGTGCTTAGAGGTAAATTTAGAGCTGTAAATGCTTCTGCTAAAGGAAGAAAGATCTCAGTTTAATAACCTAATCTTCCATCATAAGACACTGGAAGAAAATTTAAAGCAAAGAAGGAAATGATAAAGATTTGAGCAAAAATTAATTCAATCAAGAATTTAAAAAACCAATAGAACTCAATAAAACCAAAAGCTAGTTCTTCAGAAAAAGAATAAACAAAATTTCAATCCTTTAGTTAGGTTGACAAAAAATATTGAAAGAAAAAAAAGGAAAGAGAGAGTACTGAAATTACTAGAATCAGAAATGAAAACATGAGAGGACATTACTACCAACCTTATAGAAATTGAAAAAGATTTTAAAAATACAGATGTTCTTTGCTTACAGCGGGGTTATATCCCAATAAATTTATCATAAGTTAAAAATACCGTAAGTTTAAAATGTATTTAGCATACCTAATCTACCACGCATTATAGCTTAGCCTAGCTCATCTCAAATATGCTCAGAACACTTAAATTAGCCTACAGTTAGACAAAATCATCTAACACAAGGCTAATTTTATGATAAAGTATTGAAAATCTCATGTAATGCACTGAATACTGTACTGAAAGTGAAAAACAGAATTGTTGTATAGATACTTAAAGTATGGTTTTCACTGAATGTATATCACTTTTACACCACTGTAAAGTGAAAAAATCAAGTCAAACCATCTTAAGTCAGGAGCTACCTGTTCTATGAACAATTGTATGCCAGTAAATTAGATAACTTAGATAAAATAAACAAACTACTAAAACTGACTCAAGAAGAAAAAGACCATCTGAGTAGACTTGTAACAAGTAAAAAGACTGAATTAATAATCAGAAAACTACCCACAAAGAAAGCCCAAGCCTGGATAACGTCACCATTGAATTCTACCAAACATTTGAAGAAAAAATAATATTAATTCTTCACACAAATTCTTTCAAAAAATAGAAGAGAGTGGAATACTTCCCAACTTCTATGGCAAATACTTCTACAAAGCCAGGATTACCCTTATACCAAAACCAGACAGACGCAGCATAAGAAAACTACAAACTAGTATCTCTTATTCATATGAATGTAGAAATCCTCAATTAAAAAAACTGAACGCAGCAACATACAAAAAGATCTGTACACCATGACCAAGTAGGATTTATCCCAGGAATGCAAGGCTGATTTAACATTCAAAAATCAATTAATGTAATATACCATATGGATAGACTAATAAAACAAAGATCACACAATCATCTAAACAGATGCAGAAAAACATCTGACAAAAGCCAATACCCTTTTATGAGAAAATCACTCAACAAACTAGGAATAGAAGGGACTTTCCTCAACCTGACAAAGGGTATCTGCAAAAAACCTGTAGCTAACATCATGACTAATGGTCAAAGACTGGATACTGTGCCCCTAAGATCAGGAACAAAAAGAGGCTGCCCATTCCAGCTACGTCTATTAACATTGTACTAGAGGTTCCAGCCGGTACAATTAGGTTAAGGAAAAGAACAGCCATCTAGATAGGAAGGAAGAAATAAAACTATCTCTTACGTGTATGAAATCCTAAGGAATCCACTTAAAAGACTATTGGAACTAGTAAGTAGTTCAGCAAAAGTTGTAGGATACAAGATCAATGTGCAAAAATCAATTGTATTTCCACACATTTGCAATGAACAATTAGAAAATAAAATAGAGAATAATTCCGTTTATAATAGCATGAGAAAGAACAAAATAGGAATAACTTTAACAAAAGTTCAAACATACTCTGAAAACTACAAAACATCATCGAAAGAAATTAAAGAAGATATAACTAAATGGGAAAAAAAAATCTCCTGTTCATAGATCAGAAGGCTTATTTTTAGGGTGGCAATACCCCTCAAATTGATCTACAGATTCAGCACAATCCCTGTCAGAATCTTCGCTGATTTCTTTGTAGAAATTAACAAGTGAATTCCAAAACTCATATGGAATTGCAAGGGACACAGAATAGCCAAACCCATCATGAAAAAGAAAAACAAAGTAGAATCACACTTCCTGATTCCAAATTTAGTATAAAGCAACAATAATCAAGACAATGTGGGAGGTCATCATGTTAACTGAAATAAGCCAGGCACAGAAAGACAAATACCGCATGTTCTCACCCATATGTGGGAGCTAAAAAAAGTGAATCTCATGAAGATAGTAGATTGGTGGTTACCAGAGGCCAGGAAGGGCAGGGCTCAGTGGGGATACAGAGAAGTTGATTAAAGGTGCAAATATATGATTTTATAGAAGAAATAAGACCTAGAGTTTAAGAAATCATTTGAGTGACTATAGTTTACAACATCTATTAAACATTTCAAAATAGCTAGAAGAAAATATTTCAGATGGTTCTATCAGAAAGACAAAATATTTAAGGTGATGGCTATCCCAAGTACACTGATTTGATCTTTACAAATTATATAAATGTATCAAATTATCACATGTACCCTGAACACATTTGCATTGATTTTAAAAATTGTTTAATAAATAAATAAATAAAGCCAATGTCATTGGAGGGGGTGGAAAGATGGTGTGGTTCTGGCATTTGGATAGGTATACAGATTAATGAAATAGAATTCAGAGTCCAGAAATAAATCCATGTGTTTATGTTCAGCTCATTTTCACAAGGGTGCCAGGGCCCTTCAGTGGAGGAAAGAATAGTCTTTTCAACAAATGGCCCTGGGGCAACTGGATATCCACATGCAAAAGACTGAATGAAGCAAAATCCTTATTCACACCATATACGAAAATGAACTCAAATGAATAAAAAATGTAAATGTAAGAGCAAAAGCTATAAAACTCTCAGAAAGAAATAGGGGGTAAATCTTTGTGACCTTGGATTTTGCAAAATATTCTTAGATTTGACACCAAAATCACAAGCAATAAAACAGTAAAATAAATTAGATTTCATTAAAATTAAAAACTTTTGCACTTCTGCACTGGGCATGGTGGCTCATGCCTGCAATCTGAGCACTTTGGGAGCAGAAGTGGGTGGATCACATGAGGAGTTCGAGACCAGCCTGGCCAACATAGTGAAAACCCATCTCTACTCAAAATACAATTAACTGGGCATGGTGATGTGAGCCTGGAATCCCAGCTACTCGGGAGGCTGAGGCACGAGACTTACTTGAAACCTGGGGGAAAGAGATTGCTGTGAG